CTTAATAGTAGCATTCAGTCGATTTAATGTAATAAATTAAGAACAATAACTTGTAACCCAAGGTGAGTATTCTCGACTGTCACAACGAGAATCTCAGGTCCAATTATTCTATCTAATTTATTCATTTGTCATCTGATGAAATCAATTAAGATTGATAACCTCAACACAAGCGGTTTATTGGTTTAATCAATATAATTAATTCTCCTTAGGTTATTAACCATGAGACGCATGCATTAATAACCCAAGTTTACTACAGTGAAACGATCAAACGATTAACAAGCGTATTCGTCGATCGATTCTAGTAATAATTAATATATAAAACAAAACTAGTTGATCCTTTAAGTAATGTTCAAAATATTAATATGAAATATGAATAAGAATTAATTAATATTCAAGGAAGAATATTAAAGGAAATAAATTCTACTATAACTAATGTCAAGATGTTAACTAATTGTCATCTTAGCAACACTCCCCAACATTAATATAGAGATAGATTCAATTAATATTCAAGGAAGAAGATTAAAGAAAAGAACTCACAACTTACAATTCATTAAGCTTCAAAGTAGCAAAATCAAGCTCAAAAGACTACCTAAATTACAAGAATAAAGTGTATATGAAAGAGGGGATTAATTGGTCTCTAAAATAGGAAGGAAAAGGGTGTTTTTATAGGAGAAGTGAGGTGGTTGGGTCTAAGACATAATCTGATTTTCCCATGTTCACTTGCTTTATTTGATCTCTTATGATCTTCGGGTCAAATAATATCCGATTTTTCACATTTCTTTGTTCTCCATGAAGCTTCCTCTTGTCTCCAATGCTCCTTCCTTATGCTCCCAAGCTCCTTCCTCTTCTTTTCATCATGTTTTTGCTTACATGTCAAAATATCTTAATATCTTCTAATTCTACTTTAATTTTAGAAGATAAAGATTACACCGTAATTGTACAAAAGCTAAGTAAACATAATGTAAAACCATTCTAAAATGTGGTGTTTATGCACTACTAAACAGTACACATCATCTATCATGATCATGTACTCTTTTTCTCCAGTGAAAGTTATTTTTCCCCACAGAGTTTTTGCTATTTGACAAAGTTTTGAAGAAGCAACAAGATATACTACATTCTATCTACAACTCAGCACAAGGTGGAGTGTTAAAGGATATTATGTATTGTGTGTTATCGTTAAGATAGATTATGTAGTATAGATTATCCTATGTAAAGGATGTAATATGGGATTATTGACCCGTCTCTGTAAACCCTAATATCTCCTTATTTATGGGGCGTATTAGTAATGAAGTTAAGAAATCATTCTCCCTACAACAGTCTACTTATAAAAAGCAATCAGATGAGTCCTAATGACCTATTGGCAACTTCATAATCTCGGTTTTAACGTACGTCTAACTATCTTTTTGAAATGGATTGTAAGGCTGACGTGAAATATTTGGCTAGGATTGACGTAAATAGAAGACAAAAATAAGGATATGTAAGATAAAGTCGGGATTAGGATGTTGTCAACAGGTTGTTTTGACTCATCCGATTGTCTTTTATAAGTAGACATATTTATATGATACTTTATTGAGTAAATTGAGTTTATATGAAAATTTCGTAATAGTAGAAAGTCTTTTTTTATCATCAACTAGTCACTTGTATTAATTAATGAAATCATTAGCCAAATGGTTTACAATATAGTCCGGAGCAACATAAAAAACACTCCTGTGACATGAGAGTAAAACATGCGCTCTAGCCAGAGAATGAGCTACACGATTCGCAGATCGTTTACAACAAGAGACTCTATAATTACTCTTTGTTAAAAGGATTTCCTTAACATCTTCCAAAATTAATTCAATGTAAGAAAAACCTCCTCCTTGCCGAAGACCTTGGACTACTGAAAGCGCGTCTGTCTCGAACTCCACGTTCTACCAGCTTGCTGCAACCGCCTCCTCTAATGCGTCCCTTAGCCCTGCCGTTTCCGTTTCCACTGGGGACCAACCTGCCCTAATTGAGACACCTCATGCCTTAATAAAATTTCCCTGCTCATCTCTTGCCACCCAACCCCAATCTCTCTTATCTCCACTCGGGTCAACCACATCATCTACGTCCACTTTGACAACACCCCTACCTGGTCTACGCCATACCTGCTCTCTGCCGCCACCAGCCCTCATCTTCGGCTGATTGCCTGACTGCCGAGTCTCCCTCCAAATGGTGATCATACTCATAGCACTGGTTATGACTCCTGCCGCCCCTTGCCATTCCTCCTTCCAGATCAGAGAATTTCGTCTTTTTCACAAGCCCCATAAAAGAGCAACAAATTTGCTTTCATGGTCATTTGTGGAAATCCTCAGCTATTGCCTAATCCATTCCTTCACCTGTAAAACATCAGCCACTCTAGTCACACCCGCCTGCTGCCTCACTTCTTGGGCATATTCGCAATCCCAGAAAACATGCTCCAAGTTCTCGGCCTCCCTACCGCACAATTTACATTCCTCTGTAATCTAGACCCCCTTCTTCCTCAAATTATCCACAATAGGTAATGATCCATCTAATTCCTGCCAAATAAAATATTTAAATTTAGGTGGTACCTCGAGCTCACATTATTTAGCCCAGCTATCCGCTTCTTCAGTTGGTGGCAAATAAGTGAGCTTCCTGTAACAACTTTTTACAGAAAAATTGCCATTATTTTCCCATGTCTATAGGGGTGGAAATAGGCCATCCGACCTGTCAGGGGCCTGTGGTCTGGCCTGTTTAGTAATCAAGCTAGGCTTGGGCTTTTTAAAAAGCCCGTTTATCTAAATAGGTCAGGCCTAGCCCAACTCTGAAGTCTTTTTACCTTAACAGACCCGCCTATTTATATGTGTATATATATGTATGTATATATATTTAGTTATATTTATATTTATTTGTATTATTTATATTTATATTGGTAGAGTCCCGTTCGAGTCAAGCCGGCCTGACCGGAAGGCCCGTGCGGCCTTCCCCTTTTGGGTGCCTTCCCGGTAGAATTTTTTGATGAAAGTTTTTTAGCATGTTTCCCATCAAATCTAGTTTATCCATACCAAATTTCAGCTCAAAATTCGACCGGAAAGGCAGTCAAATAAATTCTTGAAACATACTTCACTATTTATATGCGCAGAATGCCCAGTATGTTTCAAGAATTTATTTGACTGTCTTCCCGATCGAATTTTGAGCTGAAATTTGGTATGGATACACTAGACTTGATGAGGAACATGATCAAAACATTTCATCAAAAAATTCCGCCGGGAAGGCCCCTAAACGGGGAAGGGCCGCACGGGGCTGTCCGGTCAGGCCGCCTGACTCGAACAACCCTCTATATTGGTATACTCAACTATAGCAAAATCGGTATAATAGTATTTTTGGGAGTGTGTATTATAAATTAGAATAGAATACTATTTTAAATATACATAAAGTGTGTTAATAGTTTATTAAGGTAATTGAAATTCAAAGTTTTTCAAGATTCAAAGTATATAGAAATTTATAAACTACATAATAATACTCCATAATAATGTATTATTAGACATCAAAGCAAAACTAACATATTATTAGACTTTTTAGTGAATATTTCGGGCAATAAATTTTATACCAGATTAAAAGGAATTTTGAAATTTTATTTTTTATTTTTTATTTTTTTTGAAATTTTGATTTTTTTAATAGGCCCGGTAAACAGGCTTCAGGCCAGGCCAGGCTTTTAAACAGGCCAGGCCGAAAAACAGGCCTTTAACAGGTAACAGGTCAGGCTCAGGCCTATATATTCTAAAACAGGCCCGATCTGTTTAGGCGAAAACCTGGCATGGGTTGGCCTGTTTCCACCCCTACCTGTCCACCAAGAACCATCCCTCCTGTCTGCCGAACTGATAGGTATACTTAAGATTAAATCTCTGTCAACCGCATCAAACATAGAGCTAATTCTCTCTCTATTTCATTCCTTGCCCGTATGATTCCTCAAGGCCGCTACATTCATACCCCGAATGCCCGAAGGTCTGGCTGATTGGATTCGACCCAACCCCTGCCCCGGTAACCAAGCATCTGCCCAAACCTGTACATCTCTGTCATTCCCGACCCTCCAACGAATATTATTTTTCAAAATCTCCTGGGTCACAAAGAAATCAGTATTTGGAAAATACCTCGCCTTTAACACCCTACTCATTAAGCTTCCCGAATCTATTACCCGTCTCCACCCTTGCTTAGCTAGCATTGCCAAATTAAATTCTCTGAGTGCGAAATCCCAAACCCCCTTCTTTCTCCGGCCTACAAAGGAGCTCCCATATGCGCCATCGTATCCCCTTCTGATCAAATTTATTGCCTTTCCACCAAAATCCATTCATGAACATTTCTATCTCATCACATAAATCTTTAGTCAGTAAAAAAACATTCATAGCATAAGTAGGGAGAGCTTGTACCACATTACGAATCAGGACCGCCCGTCCAGCTCTGGAGAGGAATTTATTATTCCAGTTTTTTATCATGTTCATGATTCGGTCTCACAGGTAGCCTAGGACAGCAGATTTATTCCTCCCCACTAACGTTGGTAGCCTCAAATAACGGCTCTGGCCTCCCTCCCTTGGAATCCTGAAAAACTGACAGCATGCATCTTTCACAAACTCTTCTACATTGTGGCTGAATGACATAGAAGACTTAGTAAAATTAATAACATGTCTAGAAGCTCGCAAAATATTTTTAATCACAGTACATTCGACATTATTAGCTTTGAAAAATAAAAAACTATCATCTGCGAACAAAAGATGAGATATTTTTTGTGCCCCTCTACACACAGCGATTCTATGGATAAATCCTCTGTCCTCCACTCTTCTGAGTAAGGAACTCAGACCCTCTACTAGCCTAATAAACAAATAGAAAGTCTTATTTAATCCTTTTCCATGGATAATCTTTTTTTATTTAATCCTTTTCCATGGATAAATTTTTTTATTTAATCCTTTTCCCTATATAGAATTAATGATTTTCAGAATGGTTCCTAAATGTTTTTTTGGAGACTCGAATCTGTCCCACACCTTGGTTAATGGCCTATAGGAGTATAGGGTCGACCTGTTTTCATGTGAATACTAGGAAAAGGAAAACCACAACACCAAGAACAGATCCCTAATTTCGTAGTCACGCATTGCATTTGCAGGCCCGTTATCCATTTTACAATATCAAACTTGAACGAGACGCATTCGCAATTCTTCGTGTCTTAACTTTGAGGTTTAATTTTCAGAAGTGAAAAGGAGGATAAGGAGAAGAAGAAGCTGATGGGGGTCGATTACTACAAGATATTGCAGGTGGATAAGAATGCAAAAGATGAAGAGCTGAAAAGAGCTTACAGGAAATTGGCTATGAAGTGGCACCCTGACAAGAACCCCAGCAACAAGAAAGATGCCGAGGCTAAATTCAAACAGATCTCTGAAGCTTATGATGTATGCTAACCTCTTTCATCGATCCATCTTCCTTATCATATGTAATTCTTTCAGATAAGGGATTTTATTGCAATTATACTTGTCACAGATCTATCCATTCGAGTTATTTCTAGAATCGTCAGTGGATCCAAGATAGCACGGTTGATACTATTCCAAGATCGATTTGAAATATATTTCAACAATAAGCAATATAAAACAAAAATATGTGCACTATTAATTTTGGATTTATACTTTCAATTGTTTCTTAGATTTTCTTGACATTATCATTTTGCAATAAATATTATGTCTGGTTGGGGTATGTCTTTGATGAAATTGATTGAATAGCTAATAAAGAAGCAAAACATCATGTAGGATTTTTTCTGTTTGCCTTGAAAGTGCCCTGTATATATGTTGTATCTCCAGAATGATGATATTTAATTGAAGGTGGCATCTAGGTTTATGTGTCTACAAGTTGATCAAGAAAACAGAAACAAAGAAAGTGGAAAATAAATCTAGGTTTTGAGGATATATTCTGTTTATGAAGGGTATTGCTCAAAATTGTAGTTGGATCTCATGTTTGCATAATGCATAGGATCAAAAGTTTTTCCTAACTACTAGGATAGAAATTCTTGTGTCTGGACACAATCCTTTCCTCCTTGGCACAAGCTCCTTTGCATATGCAAGGGAAGGTTACTCCTATCACGGGCAGAGGAGCCTTTTGGCACATTGTGTGCATCTAAGATGTCATTTGTGTATGTGTGTTATATCATCAGCTATCATAGATATGATGACTATACATTCTGGCAGGTTTTAAGTGATCCACAGAAGAGGGCAGTGTATGATCAATACGGTGAAGAAGGACTTAAAGGTCAAGTACCACCACCACAAGAGGCTGGGGGACGTGGTGGAACCACATTCTTCCATTCAGGGGATGGGCCAAATATGTTTAGATTCAACCCCAGAAATCCAAATGATATTTTTGCTGAATTTTTTGGCGGTGGAAGTCCATTTGGTGGGATGGGTGGAGGTGGGAGTGGGATGCGAGGAGGCACTTCAAGATTCCCCACTTCGCTATTTGGGGATGATATGTTTAGTTCATTCGGGGAGAGCCGTTCAGTGAGTTCGGCGGGCCCACGGAAAGCATTGCCGATTGAAAGGAAATTGCCTTGTAGCTTGGAAGAGCTCTACAAGGGAACCACCAAGAAGATGAAAATCTCAAGGGAGATTGCTGATGCAAGTGGGTGAGTTGTTTTTAAATAAATCTTCATTTTAGGTCCCACAACTATTGGGTCATTTGTGCTTTTAGTCCCGGACACTTTTGGAGCACCTCTATAGATTTCATACCATGTTAGTCCCTTTACGTCGCTCTTCCAGGAAAAAGCAACTAAAAATTGGTTGGGTAAGCGATGAGAATGACAAAAGTGAAAAAGATTCATATATGTGCATCAAAAACAAAAGTATGAAGTATATTTACTTCTCTGGGTTTGGTCAGACTACCAAATGACCATTGAGGCTTACAAAAATAAAAGTCCATTATCCTGTTAGATTTTCCATAAAAGAAACTGAAAAGAAGATATATAATGGTATACGTAGAAATTGAGTCTTCATACTAAGCTACCTTCAATAGTTGTCCCTAAGATTCTTTGCTAGAGACACTTTAAACATTTTTCTGTATAATGCATTAAATAGATACGGTATGAAGACACAATTTCACTATATTCTACACTGGGTTCTTTGTGGAAAATACGACATGTTTAGGGTTTTCTTTTGTAATATTCAGAAACCTTGGGGCTATATACATATATGGTGTTTTAGTGAACCTTGAGAGAGTGAGATGTAGTTAACTAAATTTAACCCAAATCGGGAGAAATGAAAGAAAGACTGACACAATGACTGGGAGTGACGAAATATCTGCAGAACCAAAGTTTAGTTTATTTAAGAATATGAAAATGCAAAACAATTAATCTATGAAATCAATTACTGAAAGACTTGCTGTCCTCTATCATGCGCAGGTCAAACATGCAGGTAGAAGAAATATTAACCATAACCATCAAACCTGGTTGGAAGAAGGGAACAAAAATCACATTCCCAGGAAAAGGGAACGAAGAGCCAAATGTGATTCCCGCAGATCTTGTCTTCATAATCGATGAGAAACCACACAGTAGATTCACAAGAGAAGGGAATGATCTTGTTGTGGTAGAGAGAGTGTCACTTGTTGAGGCATTAACAGGTTATACAGTCCATTTGACGACACTTGATGGAAGAAACTTGACAGTGCCTGTAAACACTATCATAAACCCGAATTATGAAGAAGTGGTCCCAAATGAAGGGATGCCAATACCTAAAGATCCGTCAAAGCGAGGGAACTTGAGGATAAAGTTTACCATCCAATTTCCTGCAAGGTTGACCGCAGAGCAGAAGGCTGGGATCAACAAATTGCTTGCTTAAATTCTTCCTTGCTTTCAAGTGATTTTGCAATCTTTAAGGATATAATCTACGGAGTGTCTTATACGGAGTATATGATATGATGCACATTACTAAGAATTCACGAGCTCAAGTTGTCTAGTCTATTACTATTATAAAGTCTATGTTTCTCATATGGTGTGATCAGCCTCTTATAGCCCCCTCATAACAAATGTGAATCAATTATGTGTTTTCCTCAACACATTGCTAGAGTTGCTGAACACCCTACTGCCCCTACATGATGTTAGCACAATGCTACCAGTATTTGAAGCAGATGTAAAAATTGGCATTCTTCATAGAAATTCAGTTTTGACTTATGCATATAAACTTTCTTTAACTTATTGGGTAGGGTGGGGGTGGGGGCTCAGTGTTAAACAAATTCATCATTCCTTCAACTTACACGATGTTGGCTCTCTCAAAAAAAAAAAAAAACAGCAAGTGTTTTAAGAACTATATCAAGAGGAAAACCAAGACTGAGGTTTTTGAGCCATTGCCATTTCTTTAGCCTAAAGACTGAATAATCTACAACCTTTTGGTATTTTATCCAAAGCTTCAGATATTACAATTTAGCCATATTTTGGTCTATGGTGAGCAATTTTAACCAAACTAGCATTTTAATCAAAATTAAAGATCACCGTTGACATGATGAACATAATGGCGCTAAGTAAATAAGCAATTTTATCCTGCGTGTCACTTTGGTTATCTAATTTGGATTACACCTCAACCTTTTTTTTGTATACAAGTAATACAACTAATTGGATTTCAAGTCTGCGTGAGCTGATGATAATATGTGAATATTAAAGTAAATATTATAGGCTTATGCTTAATTATATTTTAAAATAGTAAATGAAAACTCATTTGATATAATGTCATGTACTCTTGCATATGATTTTTAGTTTGTAGCGCATGGTAGAATTAATTTTGGTATATGCAATCCCTATTCCAGAAGAAATAAATAATACTTCGCATAAATATCCGGCTAAACAAGGAAATAATCCTCCCTTTATTTGGCGAATCTTACTTCACACTCAGGATATTATCCATGAAGGGTATTACTGGAGAGTGGGAGATGGACACTCAATAAATATATGGGAGGAACCGTGACTTCCGGACAAGGAGAATCCTAGGATTATTTCGGAGAAATTTGAGGAATTGAAGGGGATGGTGGTGGCTAATCTATTTTGTACAGATCGCGGAGAGTGGGATAGCAATAAGATGTTATTGATGATATTTTCGGAGAAAGAGATGCAACGCTCATCAAGGGAATTCCGTTGAAGAGGACTCCAATTGCAGACTCACTTTGCTGGAGATGGGAGGAAAGTGGACAGTTCTCGGTTCGAAGCTGTTATAGAAGATTGGTGGGCGAGCTGGGTAGCCAGTCGGGGATGAACTGGACTGCTACGTGGGAGTTTAATATTCCACCTAAAATTAAAATGTTATTTTGGCAGGTTTGCAGCGGTTGTCTCCCTTCGAGACTAAATTTGCAGGTATATGCAAAGTGGATTGCTCGGGACTTTGCGGGCTATGTGGAGCGGCACCGGAATCGCTGGAACATTTGTTCAGACTTTGCTCTTTTGCTAAGGACTTGTGGGCTTAGAAATCCGCAGAAGATGCTTCTCTTATGGATCAATTTTGTGAGGTGTTCCGGAGAAAGAAGAAAGCTGACCTTGAGCAGCTGGTTTGGGGCTGCTGGGCGTTGTGGAATGAGCGGAATCAAATGGTGTGGCAGGGAACAACTTCCTCAGCAAAGCAGATGGTAAACCACGGCCGAGCCCTTGTTGAAGGTTGGCAGCAAGCACAACAACAGGTTGCCACGGGAAGATGGTCGCATTCTTCCCAGCTGAGCCGAGCATCGTGGAGCAAACCTGGGCAAGGAAGATGGAAGCTGAATGTTGGCGCGGTGACGCGAGTTGACAGATGCGGCTTAGGATGGTGTTTGAGGAACTTGGAAGGGCAGTTCGTGGATGGAGTATCCAAACCGTGGCCAGGAGTTCTGACATCTTTGGGAGTTGAACTAGTTGGTATACGAGAGGCATTGAGTTGGTTAAAAGATTTCGATGGTTATCGGTCGAAATTGAATCTGACGCAGCAGGGGCGATCTCAGAAATTCTTAATGGTTCAAGCTGCTCTTTGGTGGGACTGTTGAGAGACGACATTAGAGATTTGGCGAAATCCTTTTCGTATATTTCATTTTGTCATATTAGGCGATCATCGAATAAGCCAGCCCATTTGTTAGCTAAGGCGGCTTGTTCTTTGTCTGATTCGCAGTCTTGGATTGATTTCGTCCTTCTTTCATTGTATCGGTGTTAGCCAACGATTTGATTAATGATAATTAAGTATCTCCTTTTCATAAAAAAATACTTTGTATAAATGAGGGAATACATGATCAACCATCATGTTCAACAGTTCAACTTTTGCATTTAAGTGACTACTTTGTAAATAATTTCCATTTTAGTAATAATTTTGAACAATGAGGGTATTGCTGAAAGAAATTATGTGTAATGTGCTATCGTGTATATAGAATATGTATTAGGATCACTCTATGTAAACTACTCTCTCCGTCCCATTTTACCTGTCTTACTTTCCTTTTTGTGTTGTCCCAAAATAAGTGTCATCTTTCCCTTTTGGAAAGAAATATGTGGTTCACAACATTTCACTTTGCTATACTCAAATCTTAACCAAAACTCTTACATTTTCAACTACTTTATTAAAAATTGTGTCAAAACCAAAGTAGACACATACAATGGGACGGAGGTAGTATGTATTATGAGCCCATTGGCCCGTATCTGTAAACCCTAATACCTTCCTATTTATAGGGCCTTTTATAATGAAACTATACACTCTAATCTCCTACAACACGATATCGTCACGAAAGCTTTGACCTAATTTTTCCATTCTCTCTATTCTTATTGGCCGACACCCTATCCGTCGGTTGCTCACCCCCTGCCACTAGCAAAGGCCATCGCCACACTCTTCAGCCGACTGCCTCCTTCTCAGTCGCTGGAACCATGCCGCCCCATATCCAAGTTTTGACATTGGTCGCCTTTCGAATACCTTCGTCACACCTGGAGGGAATCTCGTTGTCATTCAAATGTGTTTGACGCCACCGTCCGTCAAATACCAAATCCCAGCGCTCCTTCAAACTCCGGCGACGGAGCAACGATCCTGACGTAATCGAACTTTTCCGATTAGCTCACCAACGATCGGCCGAGCTAGATCTGTAGCAACCCCTTGCCCAACAGATTTTTTTTTGTGACAAGTAAATCGTAGAACGGTAGAAGTTTATTTGATATAAAAGAAAGGCTAAAGGGTCAAATAGGTCATTGAACTGACTTAAAGTGTTCAATTAGCCCCTTATATAGGAGATTCTGCCCGGACGTCGCTAATTGGAGCGGTTCCCGGTGGGTTTTTTTAATGAAATTTTTTGAGCATCTTCTTCATTAAGTCTAGTTTACCCATACCAAATTTCAGCTAAAAATGCAACCGGAAAGGCAGTCAAATGAATTTCCAAAATGTACTGCGCTGTTTAACTTCGCAGTTATCTTCAAAAACTCATTTGACTGCTTTCCCGGTTGAATTTTTAGCTGAAATTTGGTATGAGTAAACTAGACTTAATGAAGAAGATGCTTAAAAAATTTCATCAAAAAATTCCATTGGGTACTACCCCAATTGGCGACGGCTGGACAGAACCTCCTATATAAGGGGCTAATTGAACACTTTAAGTCAGTTCAAGGGCCTATTTGACCCTTTAACCTAAAATAAATTATCCATTTTTTTTACATACACTTTTCTAGACTTATACTAATGAATTAGTATAAGTCAAAGAATTATATGGAGTACTACTTAAAAGCTTTTAGCTTGCACTAGTGATTAGTGAATGAGACAAAGAAATCTCTCAAGAGCTTTTGGATAATGAAATTTCAAATAGTATAGAATATACTCCGTATGAATAGTGCTGGACTCGGGCCGGGTGGCCCGACCCGGAACCGGCCCGGGACCGGTACTGTGTTGAACTGGCCTGGCCCGGAGGCCCGGCCAGTGACCGGTCCGGGTAGGCCCGACCTGGGGGTTCCCGGTGCGGGCTCGGGTCACCCAAAAGCCGAACTGGCCCGGCTAGTTCGGGCCCAGTTCCGGGCTTTTTATTTATTTTTCATTTTTTTTTTTAACTTTTTGGGTTGGGCCGGGTATTTGGGCCATTTGGAGTGGTTTGGGGGTGGAGGGTGGGGGGTTAATTAGGAAAAGAAAAAAAAAATTGACCCGAGGCCCGGTCCGGCCCGAACCCAGGGGCTACCCGGGCCGGTCCCGGGCCCACCTATTCAGATCGGCGGCCCGCCCGGGCCTAGGCCTAGCATGGACCCGACCCGGCCCGTATCCAGGCCTACGTATGAAGAATAAAGGATTCATTTCATGAGAGTCTAACTCAAATTTAAAATTGTCTACTATGTTGAGAATAAGAATTTTCTCTAATTTATGAATTTATTCATTTTTTTTATTTTCAACTCTTAAATGAGTTTTTAATATGGAAATTACTACTCCAAAATTAGACTTTTGTTGGGAGTATGTAGTTCAGTATAAATTCTTTGTACTTATTCGATGTTATAAATTGATTTGATATCTCAATGTTTATCTCAAATTATGTTTGAGACGTTTATGCATCTAGATTCATTAAATTAAATGAATATATACGAGTTTTGTTTATAACAAAATCGATAAAAAGGAATATATTCACAAATAGTAGAATGATATGTATCTCGTTCTGCTTAAGATCATAAAACTGTAAAGCATAAGAGTGATATTTGAAAATTATTGCAATATGTAACAAATAAGTGTTTAACTCATTGTTCATAACAATGATTTTCACATTGAATGAAATCATGTCATGGATCCAATTCCTACGAGCGGTCTCTTGTCAAAGTAACAAGAGTTGCCCCTTAAACACCTTTGTAGGGCTTCCCGAACACTAACATTGCGACGACATCAATGTCCATTGGGTACCCTTAATGAATTTTCACATAGAAATTCGCTATAAAAAATGAGATAGAAAATATTATATTGCATTAATACAAAAGAAAATGCATGTTTAAGCAGGTTATGAGACATATTGGTCATTGACACATACAAACTTTGAAATAACTCATTCAAGTTATTGATCACTCGAATAAAGGATACAATTGCATCCAACACAATGTAAATTGTTGGTCTTAGGATTGATAAATAGAAAAACAATATCAACCTTCTAAAGTACGAGAAGAAATATTTACCTTTCGTTATGCCTTATAGATATTGTAGAAGGCACATC